AGTACTCTAAAACACATAAATAAGTTACCCGGGCAATTGATTTACATTAGCCAATCAGACGAATTTCTGCCTATGATGCAGAATATGGTGTAACGTGAAAATCAATAAATCAAAACAAGTCAATAAATCAAAACAAGTAAAAACTTCTTGAACCTTAAATTTGAGTGAAATTCAAGTTTGCAGAGTTAGTATTGTTTGTTTATTTTACAAACCTGTTGTTTCGCTGGCATATAATTCCTAGGAGATACGTTCGGCCGTAGGTTTTGCCTGGGGGAATTATTAAGAGTGACTTTTTAAAGATAAATATAAGGTTCTAGTTATTTAGTGTTTTGCTGCATATAATTCCTAGGAGATTGTTCGACCGTAGGTTTTGTCTGAAAATGTTTATTGCAGCGACCTAATATTTGTCTTTAGAAGGTTTCAGGTTCATATATAATATTGCCATTTCTAAAAATTTCACCAGCCTTTATTTAATCTTTATATTTTCGCCCTTTATCCTATTTTTTTTTTAGGCATTACGATGGTTTGTACTGTTTATTATTTAATTTGGTTACTGTAAATTATAAAAATGTTAATACAGATCTTGATTTTTTTTTTTTTTTTTTTTTTAACAATAGGCTTATGTGGAATTTGTAAAAGCCAACTTATTAAATCAATTTAATAAATTTAATGCTGTGAACTTTTTTAAAAATTTTCAATTTACGTTTTCACAAAAGAACCATGGGGAAAAAGTTTTATTTGAGGCTTTACAAAAAATTGTCACAGAAGAAGGTGTCTTAGCTAAAAAGGCCATGAGCCTTCTAAGTAGCTTCGATGAGCACATGCGTTCTTTGCCCGTACAACAATTTTGGGATAGTGTCCGTTTAGAAGATGAAAAGAACAAAACTAGCACTGAACAAGAAAACGAGGTAAGCCATCTACATTGCTAATATGTTCAATAGAATTATTATTAATTTATTATTTTGAAACGATCTAGATACAAAAAGAATGCCACATCATGTTCAACGCATTAGAAGAGCACATAAATGAAAGTGATAAAATAATGTATAGAGAAAAACGAACGGCGAATGAACTTGAAACTCTTCCCCAACAAAAAAAACCAAGGAACTATTCACCGAATCGTTCTGAAGATGATACTGATGCACATGTCTTTCGTGAAATATTTGAAGAATCCGTCACATATCTGGGAAAAGCAGTGGAATCGGAACCCAATAATCTGGAGTTGGAACCTAAGAACCTTGACGATGCAGCGGAATTAGAGTTTAATCTGGATGAAGAATTTGAGTTAGAACCTGAGGCTCTAGACCATACAGCCGAATTAAGAAATAAGGACCTAGATGCAACTAAATTAGACACATCTTTGACATTAACAGAGGAGGTAAATGATAAAAACCAATATATTACACGTGATCTCGTAAACGACGTTCTTGATGCATATCAAACGTGTGTCTTGCCTGGTGAAAAGTTAATCTACAATGGCGTAAACGTACTGGATTGTGTTTATTCAACAAACGAAATGAAAAATGGTCCACTATCCATTGGCGTCATGAACCTGCACAATATTGATTGTGTCAAATGTTTACCTGATGGTTTCAAAAAAGACATTGCAAATCAAATTCAAGACCGTGAAATGAAGTCGATTAACTTTTCTAACGGAAAAATGATCGACAAGCTTTACTATAATTGTGAGGAAGAAGTGCTACAATTCTTAGATAGGTTCAAGAATGTAACTGATTTGAAATCTTTGGCTGAATGTTTGGATAAAAATTTATTTAATCACTCTTTCGTATCAAACGATATGTTATATGTTCATAACCTTTTGTTGCATTTTTATTTTTTATATAAGAATGACAAATTACTTCAACATATGTCTGAATATGAACTTAACGACTATATTTGGACTCCTCTATTGAGAAATGCGTTTCTGGAAGAAAAGGGTTTTAAATTAAGATACGATGATTTGGTCTCGAGGTCATACAATGAACTAAAAGAAATGTTAAGTGTTGATGGAACTAGTTTGCCCAAACCTGATGCAAAGGAATTTCTGAGATCATTGGGCACTGAAGTTTTAGCGCTAGGGGTACTTAACACATACGGAAAAAGATCCGGAGATCTTAAGAAATTAGAATATTGCACAAAGATTATTTTAACTGGTTTATATTTCGCACTTCCTACTAGTGTAAATCATAGGATTAGTGAAATAGAAGCTTATAGTTTAAGATCTAGTGGGTTTCAACTAACAATTGCTGTTTCGAAATACTTATTCGAAAACACAATTGTAACAGTTGATTTGCAAGACATTGAGATACCAAGGACTGTAGAAGGTTTCTCTAAAATTATAAAGGCGATAAAAATTATCTTATCGTGGAAAGCTAGAACTAGAAAAAATGCAAATACATTTTATGAGGTGCTAAAAAAGGATAACGAACGCATGAAAAATGCTGAAATTTTTACACCGAAGAGGATACGTATTAGATAGTTATATTAAAGTTTAGAATTGGGTTATAGTCATCTTTAGAATCTTTTACTCTTACACAGAAAACATAAAATTTAGCACATTATTATATTGTGAAAATAAACGTTTATATTAGCATAAAATTGATTGAAAGTTTAATATATACATACTTATGTGCGTACATTGTTATGTAATAAAGAACTTTAATAAACCGAGTTTACTATTATAATGATAATTTTTTAGTTAAAATTATTTGTTATATATACTGTATAATTAAAATTTTTTTATATTTTTTGTAATATAAATAATACGGCATGAAAGCTTCAAAGTTGTATGGGTGTCTAACAGGAGGAAACGTTGATGTTACACGATTGATTTTACAATTTTGATCAGCTCGCTAGTAGATGTTATGATTATAATCAAACACCATTTTTATTATAATAAAAATGGTGTTGGATTCGAATCATAACATCTACTAGCGGACGGATTAAGATTGTTCAAGTATTGTTAAATAATTTTTTTATGTGTTTCACATCGAGTGTAAAATCAATTGTGTAATATCAATGTTTCCTCCTGTTTAGGTGTTTAGTTCAATATATTAAAATTTTGATTTATTAAGATGGTTTACTATAATGAACATATGTATGTATATTTTTATAATAAAGTATTTTAATAAATCAAATTCTTGATATATTCAACTAAATATTCTAGTTTTGGTTTCATTATAATGAGAACATATTGTATTTTATAGTAAAAAGTTATGATTATATTTTATATAATGATTTTAGTTTATTTAAATATTGTTAAAAAAAATATTTTATAGATTTTTAATTATATTTTATATTGAAAGATGGGGTCCTGTAGTCTAGTAGTTTAGGTGTTCTTCTTTCACAGACAAGGTTAACAGTTCAATTTTAGCTGAAGACAAAAACTTTGTAATTTATAAAAACATATGAATGTATGCAAAGTCTTGTAATTAAGTTCATGTAAATAGAAGATTAATATATAAAGAAGTTCCTAGAAAGAAGTTTTCCAATATGAAGAATTGGTGTTTAATATGAGAGAAGTGGTAAATATATCAGAAATGAAGAGAAGGTATACTAGTAAGTAATATGATATACATAAAAGGAAGTTATAAAAAAAGAATGAACTTATTAAAATTTGAATACTTCTGATATTAAAACCAATTTAGTAGATATGAAATATATTAAATTGGATCTAAGAAATAATTTTAATACTAACTTAATAAATTTGCATTAAGAGTAAATATGAATACTTAGTAACATCTAATGAAGTATCATTTTGATATAAATAATAACTAAGATAGCCTTAATCTGATATGTTACTATAATAGTAATGTAAGTATTACATATATATGTAATATATATTGAAAATCAGAAAATTTAAATAAAGAACTCATAGTCAAGTTTCAGGTATACTATCTAGTAGGTAACTTATAAGCAGAACTTTTAATCAGATAATAACTAAAGTTATATATATGATTAGTTGTACTTTTATTAATAGACTATTATAAATAAAAATATATAATCATATATTATTTAATAAAGACATATAGTCAAAATAGTTAATTCAAACTAAAAAAAAAAATTATATTTTATGTTTAATTTGTTTTTAAAGTTAGTAATTTAAATTAGTTAAGTCTTAACTAAATTTTTTTTTCTTTAACTTTAACAATCTTGTTATTATTTTTTATTTTATTTTAATTTTTTTTAATGTTAGTAGTGAGGCCATATCTCTATCTTTATTGAATATTTAACTGAGATTTTTATATAAAGTTTAAATTTATTTTTAAAATATTATAGTAAGAATAAAAGCTTAAACTAATTTATCTACAACCTAAACCAACTGGAATAGTCAAAGCTCACCTAGATTTAGGTGTTAGTAATAATGTATGAGAGATTAGATTGATATTTAATCTATTGTATATATCAAGAATTAATTTTAAAGCTAATAGTACTAAAAGAAGAAGTTTGCACTAATTGTAAAATAGAATTAAAAAATAAATTAGAAGTAGAAAGATGAATTTTAGATCTTGAAATATAGTAAGAAATCCAAATTTTGTAATAAATTTGTTAATTAAAATAAAATAAGAATTTAGTAATAAGTGTTATAAATATTTTTGTAGATGATAAGTCTGTGACTAAAGTAATAATTTTATTTGGTACTAAGTCTGATAAAATTGAGAAAATTGAAGGTAGGTTTGGTATACTGTAAGTTAATATGCAGTTTAGTTATTTGATTTGATGATATAGATTAGTTATAATTTCTGAAATAGTATTAAGACTAGTGATAATTAGAATATGTTGTAATGATTTATTTATAAGATTATTTAATAGTTGATCAGATAAGCAAGTTGTTTAATAAAGGTAAGAGCTGATATGTTGACAATGGTGACAGATAGGTAAATATGAGTAATAATATTTATGTAAAGTATGTAATACAGAAAGTTTATCTAATAAAATTTTAATTCTAAAGGACTTAAGAGTAAATAATTAAAAGCTATATAAGAAGTTTGAAATTTTTTGATTGTTGTTGATATACAGCCAAGTGGCTTGTCAGTTAATTTGGTTAAGAATTTTTTCTCATTTAAGAAAACAGTTTTGAGTAATCCATAATACATAAATATATACATAACAAATTGTATAAATACTACATCAAGTTGGTAGTTCAAGAGAAAAATTCTTAAAAATAAGAGTATAAGCTAAGTTATAAATATTATATAACATGAAACTAAGATATAGTAAGTTGTAATAGTTACATGTAAGTTGATTAGCTAAATTATTATATATATTATCTTGATAAGTAGTAACTTTGTAAAAGATGATTTGAATTTGTATAAGTTAATAAAGTTGACAAGTATGTTCCAAAATAAAAAATATAGTATATATGTATATAATAGAATAGTAGGAAAATTTAAAAGATTTTGGTATTTTGAAATTACAGATTGAAAGTCTATATATATATTTATAGTACAGTTTTTAGAAGTAGTAATAAGAAAGGGTGTGGCAACCTAGTAAAGTGGATAGGTTGTCAACCCTCAAGTGGCAGGTCTAAGGTTCAATTCCTACAGACGACGAATTTTGAAAATTATACCTGTATTATGGTAACTGTCTCTTGCCGATCGGTTAGGTTTTGGGCATCTGTAATCTTAGGTACACCAAGTCGGGCCTCACCTGACATTGGGAGCTCAGGGCATCTATGCGAAGTGTAATGTTACATGTTACATGTACATAGAGGAATGTAAAACCGATGTCGTATAAGGCTTCGGGCAAACCTATAATAAGACCACTGAGCATAGAAGGCTAAGAAACCAAAGAGACAGAAACTCACTTGGAAATCCTGAGTAAAGAGGTAGCACAAACTTTTGATGGTGCTATTGGACTAACAGAAGCCCATGAAACACCTTCATAAAAACTGTCAGATAAACCGGATGACAAAGATGTATAGAGGAGCACATGACCAACCAGGCTGCTAGAATTGCTGAAGGAAAAGGATACATAAGTATACCATACCGGGCCATCTGGATTGGGAGTCTGGGGAAGTCTGTTGTTGGTTCTGAGTTGCGGCTAGTAGGGGATAATGGAGAAGAAGTCAGAAAGATAGGTACCAGGGTTTGGGTGAACTTTACAAGGCTAATAGCAGTTTAAGAGGTAACCCTAACTGCAAGTGTTGGCCCCAGTCATAGCATCAAACCAGGTTAGTGGTAAAAGAGAATATGGCTCGCTCTGGTAGGTTTACTTTGAAGATAAAAATAGTCTAAGGATTATAGTCTTATGGTCGAATGCGAATAGATCTGGGTCTGTGATCTGGTGAAATTAATACTAGGGTTAGATCAGAGGGTTTAAATGA